GAATCAAATTTCAATGTACTTTGCTTCAAACATAGTGGATCATTTTGCTCGAAACGACATAGTCAATGAGGTTTTTCCTATAATAATTGGTTGATTTTCACCAGTCGGGGTTTATTCGCTAAAAATCCTGGTGTCATCTCTTAAACTTTATTTACTTTACTTGCACTTTATTTTTGTTTTGTGGGTTTGATTTTATTTTAGTTTTATTTCGGTAAAATTAAAATAAGTAAAAATTAGATAAAGGAGCAAGTAAAACCTTTTCACAGCCTATCTAGGTTATTTTTAATACAAACTTTCACATCCTATTCCGCTGCACAACTCACAAGTTATACGTTTCTTTGGAACCAAGTATGATTTATATAGTAGGTATATATATACATGTTAGCTGTCAATTTGCTGGTGCACTAAAGGACAAATACTACAAAGTTGGCAATGGCAATGTAGTCCTTTCACTCAGGGAATGTTAGAATATTCCTTTATTTTTGGGGGAATGTGCCACGTTTATTTTCCTCTTTAGGGCAGGACTTCAGCTTAGTGTACTGGTATATATACATTGTTATAGCAGTAGCAGCCTTCAAGCCTCTTGAGTGTATAATTTGAAACCCTTGTGAGATGCATTGTGTGTTCATATCTCGAGTGACCAAATGGACCAAGTTTTCTAAGTTTTGATTCAAGATTTGAGCCTCAAATTCATCTCAAAATCCTACTTTGTGAAAAATTATGTCACTGATGTTTGGATTAGGCCTTGTGTAGCTATTCTTGGTGCTGGTTCAAGGTTTAAGAGGTCAAAATTAATCTGAGATATTTCTGGTGCATTGTGAAGGTTGAGATAAGCTTAAGCTTATTTTACCATTTGACATCTGTAGAAACTATGTTTATGCCTATTATCTTCCTATAGTAGCTTTTGATATCCCATACCTTGCTTATACTTGTTGGTTTAAGCTTCTGATCTAAGTATCTATTGTTATTATCTTGCTGTGAACTTGTTGTTTACCATCTGAGTATAATTATATTGATGAATTAACACCACACAAGTTGAGTTCTGCACATAGAAATGATCATTTCATATTATGATATACCAAACCTTAACAGTTAAGGGTTTTTTGCAGAAGCCACGCATGTTTGTGTTATATATTGATTATATCTTGCTACTCTTGATGTGTTTGACATATGATCAAGTGTATAACGTTGATATAAGGTTATGGGAACCTATTTCAAGTCTGTAGTGAAGCTGAATTCCATTTTTACCCTTTAGACCACTGATTATGCAGAAGATTATTGAGCACTTGGTGCTGTGGATGCTTTGAGCTACATTATCACTCTTATCTTATATAATAACTTCTATATTTGTTATACATCTTTCATTATGTATTTGATGAGCTGTGAAAGCTTATTTGGTCTAAGCAGGGTGCTTAGGACAGGGGAGTGTTGTGAGCATATGTTGTGAGTTAGGATGTGTATATAATAAAAGATAATTGAGTATGTATCTACTTGCATAACTAGTGGAGCTTACACTGGGAGTGCCCAAAAACCAAGGTTTTTAATCCCTATTGAGAGGGGTTTTTCTTTGTAAAATCCTTGTGTGACAGTGTTTGAGATTGTAGCCTACATTCACTATTGACAGACAACTACATTACACTTATTGAACCAGAAAATTTATCTAAGTGTTTGAAGTTCTATTTAAGAACCAATTCACCCCCTCCCCCTCTTGCCCCCTCTTGGTTCATCAATGGGGTTTTTAGTGAGTGAGAGACTAACAGTGGAGAAAGCTTCATTTCTGGTGAACTTCGGCGCGATGAATTCAACCTTTAGGTGGGTTTCAGTTGGTGTGCTTTGTATTTTCTGTTCCAGTGAGCTTGATTCAAAGACCCAATTGATCACCGGAGATACTTTCTCCAAAAAGTAATGTGAAAAATAGCTCATCAAAGTGGGAATTTCGGCGACGTGTGTTAGATTCCAACAATTGGGTTTGGTTTTTCTTTATTGTGGGTACCACCTCGCCCACCATCATCCTCGCCGTCATTGGATCACCTCATCCACCATCATTGCCGCTGTCGTTGGATCACCCCGTCCACTATCACGGCAACCGCCATCGCCGCCTGTTCCTCTTCCTCACCTGCATCGGAACTCTCGACAATGACGTCTTCCGATGACGTCGTGGAGAAATCAAGTCTTGCTACCTCTATTTTGATCAGGACTCCGTACCATTATTATGGTTATTGTTTTTAGATTCACTGGTGGGCCAGCCCTGAATAGGCCACCAAGGCAGTCGCTTAGAGCCTTCAATTTGATAAAACCTCAAAATTTTAAATTTCCTTATATAATTTATATTATAATTATCTCCCTTATTACTTAAAAACTAATGAATATAAAAATTTAATAATAAACCTCAAAAATTTATATCTTAAAAAAACTTTTTATTTTTCTCTCCTTCTCATTCACATTTTTAATTAAACTCTATCTAATAAAAAAATATTGACCCTAAAGATTTATATCCTTAAATAACTTTTTTTTTCCCCTATATCTTCCTCTCTCCTCTCCTTATACACAATTTTAATATTAGTTCCAAATATTTATGTTCTTAAATCACTTATTTCTCTCTCTCTCTCTCTCTCTCTTCGCATTTTTTACAACACTAATTTTTTCTTTTTTGGTAAGTTATACCTGTAGTGAATATTAAATACCCCGTATGTATTTAACCGTTATTTGGGAAAGTGGTGAAACTTTTCATAGCCGTACCTTTCATAGTCATCTCCCTCCTCTTATTTCAAGTTTATAGTTCTTTTTCTTTTCCACTCAATACTCATTGCTCTCAAATTGAACCCATGTTTATTGTATTGAAAATTTTGTAGGAGCATTGGATTGGGGTTTTCTAAATTTGGTTCAATTGTTCTTTTCTTTTCTTTTTTTCTTTTTTTTTTTATAGTTTTATTAACCTTTGTTATTATAAATTTGTATCTGTATATATATATATATAGAAAGAGAGAGTGGTGATCTCTTGCTCTCCATGAAGCAAGAAAACTTATCCGCACTTTCTATTAAGACCATTAGATCTAATTTAACGATTAGTATAGAAACCCACCTATATTCTTTCCTTTTAATACAAAACTACCATCATTATTTATAGTTTCTAAATTTAATATTTACCAAACTACTAATTACAACAATAAAAAGTAATTACTCAAAAATTATTTATAGAAATCTCTTCACATCTAAAAATAACGTCTATTTCAAACAAAGACCTACAAGAGTACTACTTTCCCTTTTTCCATACAAATTGAATTTGCAAGTTTTCTACATCCTTTGTCTCCATATAATCATAAGTAAATAAAAATAAAATTTATTTTTTTCTGCACAACACTTCAGTCGCATAAAATTTAATGGATTAAAATATCTTTATTTATTTATTTTTTTTTTGTCTCTTGTAATTTTTTGTTTAAGAGAGACGTGATTTCCAGAGGTGAAGAGATTTCAAATTTTTTTTTAGTAATTACCTTTTATTATTGTAATTAGTAGTATTGGTAAATATTAAATTTAGAAACTATAAATAGTAACAATGGTTTTATATTAAAAGGAAATGATGTAAGTAGGTTTCTATAATTACCGTTCGATTAAATCTAATGGTCACTGTAGAAAGTGCGGATCAATTTTCTTACTCCATAGGGAGCAAGAGATCATTACTTTATATATATATCATATATTTGTATATTTTAACCAAACTTAAACACAAATCTAATTAGTAATTTAGCATTTCACAAAGTAAATAAGGATGATTTTTAAATAAATATGATTTAATATTAATATATTATTAAAAGGACACTTTTTATTTTTCGCTTAAGATTCCAAATTATTTGGATTCGCCTTAGGTTCTTATCGTCTCATTTTAATGAAAATTTTGTACTCTTATAATTTGTTTTGCGCAAGAGAAACCTTATGTATAAAGGCCTCGTATTTGAAAATTGGCTTCTGAAAATTTTGAGAATCTCAAGGCTGGCACTGCACTGGTGGATGTAGATCCCGGAAGACATTGATTCTTGCTTATTGTTTGATCTTTTGAATCTGGAACAACTTTTTTTTTTCTTGGTAAAATTTCCATTCCTCGATCTCCTCTCTTTCTACTCTGTAACTCACACCACCACCACCACCCTCTCCGGCAAGAAATTCTAGTGAACCACCACCACCCTCTCTGTCCGTCTTCTCTCACATATTGTTTCTTTCTCTATATCCAGTGCAAGTTTCCTCTCTGATTGACGTACTAGTACTTTTATAATCTAGGAAACTTTGAAAATTTTGAGATTAGCATATATACACACAAACACTAATATATGCATTTCGTTTCTTTGACACAGGTTGTATATTGAACATGTTTTGAAACACCCAAATTTGATCTTACCAAACCAAAACTGCCATGAATTATGGAATCAATACCCAAATTTGATACTACCAAAATCTGATCTGTGATGCTTGTATGCTTACACATACTCAAGGCCGGGGCAATTCGTGTAATTTGACTCATATTGACTGTTATGAAGGGAGGTTTATGTAGGTTAGTTTCATTTTTAGGAGAAATTCGTGTAATTTCACAAATTATAGAAAGGTCTTGTGAGAAGTCCGTATAAATTACCCTAAAGTTTATCATAATCAATATCCCATACTTCAAGTTCAAATTCTTTTGCCAAAACTATCTCATGTCCCCTGCAATACAAGTCTACAACCGAGAAACTTTGGACAATGATCTTTCTCATTTTCTCTGTTAGAATATATTCGATCTATAATATATTTTTACATATATTTTATAACATGTCATTACCATATATATCATTACCTTATATGGTAGCTGTCTTAACCTACACTCATTACCATATATAACAATACTTTATATGGTAATAGCTTACTTTCTACACATGACCTTTCCTATATAAACCCTCGTGTACTCTTGTATTACATATTACATATTACATACATCAATATAATTCAGAGTTCTATACTCTCTCTTATTTTTAAGATTCTCCCTGATGTTCGAGTTTTAGAGCCTTTGGTACACATGCTGAATGTCTAGTCTTTTTCTCATTAGCTATAACAGCCTTCACAAATTCCTACATAATAATTACCACACATAAAGAGAAGATTTTTAAAAACCTTTTAAAAAAAAAAAAAAAAAAAAAAAAAAAAAAAAAAAAATCGTCATCATCTTCTTTAATAACAAGGAAAATATAATGCAGAATTATCTACCTTATATGCAGCTGGACACCATGCATAATCAAAATCATCTGAATCTGCACGTCGCATGCGTTCGGGATGAAATTGAAGCCCCATTATAAACTTGCCCTCTTCTAGATTATAATTTTCTGGATCATAGAAGCCTTCAACCAAGCCATCAGGAGCAAAAGCCATTGGATCGAATCGCTGTGCAAGTTTCTTAACACCTTGATGGTGATAACTATTTACCCAAATTTCCATTTTTATATCTTCTAGTGAATCTTTAAACCATTTACGCAAAAGGGCATTCTCAACCACCTTCACCACATGCCGGTGTCCATCATAGTTTTCATAGTTCATATGAACCACTCTCTTATCTTCTGGACATGTCTTTGATAGTTGTTTGTCTATGTCCTGATAGAGGGTACCTCCACATGCCACATTAAGGACTTGTGACCCTCTACATATTCCTAAGTAGGGTATGTTCCTTTCAAGGAAAAGCTTTGCTAGCCTTAATTCAATTGTATCTTTCTCGCGATCAATGGTTGTGTCACTTGCATGAAGTTGCCTAATCTCTTCGAGATCTTCAGGCGGAAAATCAGACAATTTGGCATCATAAAATGATGGATCAATATCTTCACCCTCACGAAGAAGAACACCATGAATGGGTTCAAAGCTTCCTAGAAGCATGTGGACCCCATCGACTCTTCGGACTATAACAGGTACTGCTCCATAGCTTACTATGAGATCTAGATGATATTCTCCTGTTTATTGAAAGTGAGATAATAATCAATAATTTGCTCGTCAGTCATATACTACTCTTTGAGTTATTTTAATTAATTTAGCACATGTTGAACACAACTTTCAAACCAGAAAATGAAAAACTAAAGAAAGTGGAAATCAAACACATAAATTACACACACATATTTGGGGATATACCTAGATGATGATATTCTCTGGTTCATGCTTTTTTTTTTTTTCCCGGTAATTCGGTTCAACTTTTATATATATATATATCTATAAGGTATAGTTGACAAATATATATTGGAATTTGGAAGTTCATTTATGAGAGGTGGAATATTTTCAGTGACCAATATAGTATATGCCCAGGGAGCCTGGAAAGTTTTTCCCTCATATATATATATATATATATGTGTGTGTGTGTACATATTTGTGAATATTTATAAAATCCCCCTTTACTTGTGACCCAATACAATTTAAACATATGCTCAAATTTATAAAATTTTTAGTATGGTTATTATCCAAATTCTTAAAGGTTAAATCCAAATCCAAATCCAAATCCAATTTTTTGTTTTCCTTATTTAAAATTTTGAGAATCCCTTAAAGCATACTCTCTTCTCTCCCTTCCCTCCTCTCTCTCTCTCTCTCTCTCTCTCCCCCCACAAATCTCCATACCCAACCCCAATCTAAAATCTTAGTCCATCTACATTAATCAAACGCTCAACTTTTATTCAATATGTAAAACAATATACAAACCAATAGAAGTTCATAAGTGACACAAAAGTGCACCAATTCACAAACTTTTAATCTTTCTTTTTCATATTTTCCACCAATGAGAGAAAGGAAAGAAAAAAAAAAAAAACCAATCCTTACATATGGTGGGCATTTTAGTGCAAAGAAGACCGCATTGAAGGTTCTTCAAAGTGGGCTCTTTTGGCCCACTATCCATAGAGATGCTTACAACTTTTGCAAGTCGTGTGAGAGATGTCAAAAGATGGGATCAATGTCAAGAAGAGATATGATGCCATTGACCAATATCCTTGTTGTAGAAATCTTTGACATATGGGGCATTGATTTTATAGGTCCATTTCCTATGTCCTATGGTTTTCAATATATTCTCCTTGCCGTTGATTATGTTTCCAAGTGGGTGGAAGCTTGTGCTACCAAAACAAATGACCATTCCGTGGTTATCCAATTCATCAAATCCAATATCTCTGCTCGTTTTGGTATGCCTAGGGTGTAACCAATTCTTAAGGCATTTATTTCTTAAGTACTCTGTTACTCATAAAGTGGCCACTCCTTACCACCCTCAAACAAATGGGCAAGTAGAAGTGTCTAACCGGGAGATTAAGCATATTCTTGAGAAAACGGTAAACACCACCCGAAAAGATTGGTCACGAAAGTTAAATGATGCTTTGTGGGCTTATCGGACGGCATATAAGACTCTCATTGTCATGTCTCCCTATAGACTTATCTATGGAAAGCCTTGCCATCTTCTAGTTGAGTTAGAACATAAAGCCTTATGGCTGGTTAAAAAGCTCAATCTTAACTTTGATAAAGCTGGAAAGAACCGATTATTACAATTGAGTGAGTTAGAAGAGTTGAGACATAATGCTTATGATAATACCAAACTCTACAAAGAAAGAACTAAAGCCTTTCATGATGAGCATATCGTGAAGAAGTCTTTTGAACCCAATCAAAAAGTTTGGCTTTTCAACTCTAGATTGAAACTCTTTCTTGGGAAGTTGAGAACCAAATGGGAAGATCCTTATGAAGTCATCTCTGTTGCACCTCATGGGGTGGTTGAAATTCAAAATTTGAAAAAGGGGAACATTTTCAAGGTTAATGGGCAGAGATTAAAACCTTACATTGAGGGACAGCTCTTCAAAGACATTTGGAAGCTGCACATCTAATAGACCCTGTTTATGAAGACATCTAGGGTTGCAATCCAAAATAGAAGAGTTTTTGCCTGTTCGATTGATCTCAATGAGAGTTCGATCGATCGAACTCCATACCTGCATCCAATCACCTCTCTGTCCAATCGTTCGAAGAAAACCTGCATATTTCAGCTATCTGTCCCATCGTTCGAACTTGTTTCTAGATCGATCTTTAGTTCTTCTATCGATCCAACTTCATCTTGGATCGATCTGCAGTCTCAACACTTAGAAAATTTTTGGACCTGCATCCAAAGACCTCTTTGTCTTATCGTTCAAACATGTCTGCAGGTTTATGCATGTTCGATCGATCGAAAAGTTTTTGATATCGATCTGAACTTGATTGATCTGAACTTGATCGATCTGAACATCTTTGGTTTGACTTTGTCCTCCCTTTTTGAATTTGAGGCTTATTTATTTAAAGCAGCATTACGTCTAGTTAGAGACGTTAAACTTAGCAATCATTGTTCATATTTTCTTTCATATCCTTTAATCTTGTTTATTCAAAAAAAAAAAAAAAATTATTTTCTTTTCACCATTATGCCCTTATGCGTAGTCATGCTACTTTCATCTTCTCTTGGATTTGGTCTCATATCTTTCTTTCATCATGTGTTATATTGCTTTAGAATGTATGATTTGATTATTCTTATCCTATTTGATATTTGATGTGAATTTTCTAGTGTGGTTATTCAAGTGGGTTTTTTATTCCAAGTTTGGGGGAGACGTCTTTTGAATTGGATATTGCCGGGCTCCATGTCTTTACCACCACGGTATACTCTTTCCATCTTTTTCATTATTCTCATTGCACATTGAGGATAATGTGCGGTTTAAGTTTGGGGGTAAGGTGACTTTGTTGCATTCTACTTAAAGTTGAACTTTAAATACATGATTGAGAATTGAGATTGATGTTAGTTATGATTTTGATCTTTTAAGGACTATATTGCTTAGAATTTAAAAATTGCTTGACTTGAGAGTCCAATACTCCATGTATGCCTTGTGGATGCCATTTAGGAGTAAATTTTTCGAAAGATTGATATCTTGCTTGCATTAATGGTCCACATATTCCTGATTTTGTGATTATTTTGAGATTCACTCTAAAATTTTACACTAGCACAGGCGCACACTAGCATTCATTTGTGGGGTACATGCTTTGTTGATTATTGAATTGGTTATATCCCAATATGGCTAATAGTGCATTGAAAGCTTTCATTTTGATAAAAGTGGATAACAAACCCTTTTTACTAAGTAGCCGGGATTCTAGCATCATCAATCACTGAATTTCTCGCGCTGAAAGGTGGAGGGCCCAAACTCTAAGTTAATAATTGAACCAAAAAAAAAAAAAGGTGCAAAAGTAATAAAAAGTGAGGACTTCTCCTTAAAGGTGAGAAGTGTGAAATGATTAGATGGAGGTATTAATAGCTTCTAAGCCCAGAAAGTCAAAAGCAGCGTTTGAAAAGCCAATCCAAACAGGGCTTTCATCTTCTGTTGCTTCATCTTCCTTCTGCCGCTTCATCTTCTGCTGCTTCATCTTTTGCTAGAACCTTTCGTCTCAGTCCATCTCTATTTTGCCACTCTCTAACTACATCTATCACTTCAACAGCCGAATCAGCAAAATTGTCTTTCTCCATCACAATCTCAATCTCAATGCAAAGCACATGGGTTCATGAGGCATTCAGTGGTTCGATTGAAGCCCTAACATACCCCAGTTTGATTGGTGGCCTTCACCTGGTTTGATTCAAAGCCCTATTTTACTTTTTGTTTCCATATATACTGTTTTTTATTTTTTATTTTTTATTATTTGTGTATTTGTTAGAAGAATACATAATAATGATGAATTGGTAGAGGAAAATGTTGAGATTTAACTTATTTTTTCTTAAAAGAGGGCTCTCAAGAAACCCTAGCGTCCAACTTCACCTTCACCTTCACCTCTTCACTCCGTCCTCTCCACTCTGTCCTCTCGCCGGTAACAATCATGGTAGTATCTCTCTCTGTCTCCACACACCCACACACATATATCTATTTCTGTTTTGTTGAACAATCTGCACCCTCGTTTCTTTTGTGAAAGATTAGAGTAAATTTGGGCGTTTTCTCTTAGAATAAATTTGGGCATTTTCTCTTCCTTAATTTTTTTTCATTCTTATTCATTCTTAGATCTGATAAACTGGTCTGTGGCATGGGCAGTTGTATTCTTAAGGTGCCCTATTGTGGAGCTTGTGCATGAACTTGTACCCAATTGAAATAATTTAAGAGTTAAAAAAGACCTTAATGTAACCTAATACTCAAAGTCTAGGTGTTGTGGAACATTTTATGTTTGAAGAGCATAAATTATAATCATAAGAGTGAAGATGGAGATCAAATAGGAACAAGAGGAAGAAACAGGGTGATGGTAGGATTATATTATAAGTTAAACTCTCCCTTTCTGTCGCTTTCACTGTGTACGTGTGTCACAAGACAATTGCACTTATTTTCAGTTAGTGAATTGAAACTCCCATTTTGATTAAAAAAAAAAAGAAAAAAATTGTGGGGTAGCTACACTCACTGACCATAAGGAGTCTTTGCCACTATTTGTATTTAAACTTTATTTACTATTTTGCTCCATGATGTTCATCCTTTAGCTTGTGATCACAGGGAATAAACTAGGATGAATTTAAACAAACTTCATGATGCCCATCCTTTACTATACAATACTTACATATATATGATTTTGATTATATTTTCTTTGAATTCCAATTATAATCCTTTTTTTATGTTTCAGGTTCTGATATTGTTTAGATTTTTGTGATAACCTTCATCCGCATTCACTTTGATAATAGGACTTGCTTGAGCTTACAATTAAGGGTTATAAATGACTTCTTCATCACCATAGACAAAATAGACAAAACCTCTGCTAGGTTCCGATTTTGTAAGTATAAATCAGAATATGCTTAGTTTTTCAAAGCATTTAACAGAATATCAGTTAAGATATACGGTGCTAATTTTTTCCCCCTAACTATGGTGTTACTTTACTATCTTGATCATTCAGTGGATGGGGTTTCTTCCTATTTTCGTTCAAATCTTTTGTTTTGTTGTCTGTTAGAAATTGTATTTCAAAAATGGTACTAAAGAATGCAAACGGTGAGATCTTTTTGTCGTTCATTTAAGAAGGGAGAACTGAAGTATACTATAGAATTGGTCTTTTATGAATTTGTTTTTTGATGATAATAGTTCAGGAAATTATGATGAACCAAGCTGTCCATTTCCTTTTTGGCATTGAAGTAGGAGCTTAGATTTGATTTTAGGTAATCTGATATTGAAAACAAGAATATCTATCTTCTTTGAACTTCAATGTGAGTTACCACCAATGTGAGAGCCATTGGTTGATACAAATTGGTTACTGATGATTGAAACCTTTCATGACAAAAAAAATATATTTTAACATGTATGTTGACTTAATTGTATTTGACTTCAGAAACAAATGCAATCTGCATGATTAGGACTCTGACATCTTGTAGATTGTTCCAAAACACTTTGTTACAAGCCCCAAGCCATGACAGGTCCAAGACAGGAGGGCTAGAAAAATAAGAAAGAACTCAACACTATGTTATCGACACATTATGGATTTATTAGGAACCAACTCCTTCAGGTACTCAACAACAAAAACCACATCACACTTACACTTCCATTAATTTCTCTCTTTGTTTTTTTGTACCCCATCACAATGCCTCAAATTACAATAGGTTTCACTTTATTTGGGCTAGAAAATCATATTGTGTAAATGTAGTAACTATTTAATACATGAAAATTCACATTTTTTTTTTTTTAGATTTGGGATACAAGTTCTTTTATTCAGGTTTTAAGTTTTTTTGAGCTGTTTTATTTATTTATTTTGATTTCCTTATATTTTAGTGACATTTATTTTTAAATCACAATTATATGTATCCAGAATTGATCTTGTTTACGGTTCTACTTATCATTTCAAGTTTGGTGGTATGTTGTAATTAATAACCTATAGCTTTTCTTTCGTTAACTTTAGGCTTTATTTGTTTTATTTTGGAAGTGCTATCTTCTTTTTTCAAAAAATTATTAATTTTGATTTTCTTATTCATTTATCTAGAGCTATGTTAATGTATTTTTAATTATTCCAAACATGTTGGCTTTTAATGTGAATTGGTTAAGATATTTGTTTGTGCTTCTTTAATAATGATTTGTTATCTAGTTGTTGGTTATTTGGTTTGTATTTTTGCATTCTTAGTGTGTAAAAAAGGCCTTGAAAACAAGAGAAGACCTTGTAGAAACTTAAATTTGTTGGTTGAACTAATCATAATTTTTCTATTTTTTGGGCAGATTGCTTGTGGCTGGGATTAGGTTTTTGATCACTTTTTGTTGTAGGCCCATTAATTATATTTTGTTTTCTTCATATGGGTTTAGGATAAACTCACTTTTATACTTTTTGTTCTTACATGGGATTGGATTTATAGATCTCCCATCTCCCCATTGTTGGCAGATTGCATGTAGTTGTGATTATTAGCTTTTTGGTATCTTTTTGTTGCAGCCCAATTGACTAAATTTTTTGTTTCATTGGGCTCAAAACAAACTAACTTTTGTAGTTTTGGTTCTTACAAGGGATTGTATTTATAGATCTCCCATCTCCGTGTTGGTAGGTTACATGTAGCTAGTTTTAGTTTTTTTCTTTTGTAGTTTTGGTTCTTACAAGGGATTGTATTTATGGATCTCCCATCTCCCTGTTGGTAGGTTACATGTAGCTGGTATTATTTTTTTTTCTCTCTTTTTGTTACAGTCCCATTGACTATGTTTTTTGTTTCATATGGGCTTAATAAAAGCTCACTTTTGTACTTTTGGATCTTCTATCTCCCTATATTGTTGGATATAGGTTTAATAAATCTCTATGGATGTGAATCTTGTCTTGATCCTTTATTTGGAATACGTATGGATGATTGGACATATGAAATAATATTTTTCCTTTTCATTGATAATTTGTAATATATTGATATCAAATTTGTTTAATTGACATGTTTGGTATTAGTGAGAAAAAAAGATATCTTATAAATTAGTTTATTGAGAGTAAAAAAAAAAAAAGATTATTGAAAACAAAAAAAAAAAAAAAATCAAATAATGATTTTTAATGCATTTATCCACAAATTTTAAAAAAAAAATTGGCAACTAAAAATATTTGTTGTTAAATATCAACACTTGTGGCAAAAGTAATTTTGTTGCAAGTTCAATTATATAAGGTGACAAAATTTTTTTTTTTGTTACAAATTGCATTATAATTAGGTAACAAATATATTTTTGTTGCAATTGTTTCAACAAAATTCCTTGGATTGGAGTTGTATTAAGCAACAAATTTGTGGACAAATAAGGATGAATTGTTTGTCTCTAATTGTAATCTCTTTAGGGACAAGTAAAATTTTGTTGTCAAAAGATTAAACTTTTAGCAACAAAACTCCTTTTAGCAACAAAAATCCTTTTAGCAACAAAACTCCTCGGAATTGAATTGTATTAAGCAACAAATTTTTGGAGAAAATGAGACAAATTATTTGTTGCTAATTATCGTATCTTTCGTGACAAGTAAATTTCTTATTGCAAAAGATTAACTTTCTTGCAACAAAAGTTTTTGTTGCATAAAACCTTTTGTGACGAGCTTATAAGAACAACATTGCCACAAAAAAATTTTTGTTGCAAAAACTTTTTTGCAACAAATTATCCGTATTTAGCAACAAAATGTTTTGTCCCTAATACCAATATTTGTTGTAGTAACACAGCTAAAAAATTCTCATATCATCATCCGAGTAAAACCCATGATATATCTCAAAAAAAATATAGATGAGTTTGATGATCAACTTCAAGACCTTCTCGAAAAGAAGCTCATTGAAAGAACTAAAAGCCCTCATAGTAGCCCAGCTTTCATAGTAAGAAATCATAGTGAAGTTAAAAGAGGAAAAGCTCGCATGATAATCAACTATAAGCGGCTTAATGAACACTTAATTTTCGATGGTTATTTTATTTCTTGAAAAAATGTTCTCATAAATCAAACTCGCAGAGCAAAAATCTTCAGTGAGTTTGATTGCAAAGCAAGTTTTTGGCAAATAAAATTAAGAAAAAAATCCAAGCCATTAACTGTTTTCAGCACACCAAGAGGTCATTATCAGTGGACTGTAATGCCATTCGGTCTCAATACTGCACCTCAAATATATCAACGATGGATGGATAAGATCTTTAATGACCTTAAAGATTTTGTTGTCGTCTACATCGACGATATACTGGTTTTCTCTAAAACAAGAGATGACCATAAAAAACATCTACAATGCCTTTCAGAAAAATTGAAAAAACACGGGATTATTTTATCTCCTACCAAGATAGATGTTGAACAGGAATCTATTGATTTCCTAGGTCTAGTTTTAACCCAAAAAGGGATAAAACTACAGGATCACATTATTATCAAAATTCGTGATTTTTCTGATACTATTCAAGATAAAAAGCAACTTCAAAGTTTCCTTGGTATCTTAAATTATGGCCGCAACTTTATTA